ATGAGGTCGATACTCAGAATAAGAAGGAGACTTCTGGCAATGCCCAACCTCAAGATTTCATTTTCTCCAAGATCCAGCTGTAGTTTTGCTCTTCTTGCACTTACAGGAACTTATCAATAAAGTCTGCTATTTGCCTGACCTTTCTGGGTTTCTTCCACTAGTCTCTTATTTTCTGTTGCCCTAAAGGCAAACCCTGAGACAAAGATTCAAGTGCAAGCGGTTTATTCCAGAGATGATCCTAGGAAGTGTGAGTAGAAGAGTAGGGAAGTGAGACAGGAAGAGACGTCAGCAGGTAAAGGATTTCTTGGTCAGGTTACCACTGTGGTCAGCTAGAGCTCAAATCTGTTGAGGAAATTGGTAGTCAGTTTAAGCAAATAATTCAGAATTAAAACACCCAAAGGGGGAGAGTGGGGTGTTCATATACCCAGCTCCTGCCAGTCACTGAGTAAGGGCTGTGTCTGGGGTTTGTTAATTCCTCAGCACTTTAGGTCAATCCCTCTGCAGGCAGAAAAGGTCAAGGGATTAAAGTACATCCTCAGACAAACCTGAGAACGGTTGGAATTCAGTCTAGTATGTTCTGAAAAAGCACCTCTGTCACCTGTTTCAGCTTAATAATGAGAATAGCTCTGACTGGCGCAGTAGAGATATGCCTGCAGGGTGGCCTCAACGTCTTTGTAAGTGCCAGGTGGAAGTTGTATGTATGATCCCCTCCCGTTCTCTGAAAAAAATCTAAAATTTCCCCCATGCTCTCAGGACATAGTTATCTACATTAATAGCTGGAAGACATTAAAGAAACCCCTGACAGCTTTTTTTAGATTTTCCTCATAGCCGGATGGCGTTGAGAATTTTTCTCCCCCTAGTCTCACCCAGAAAGACTCTCTGCCTTCCTGTAGTTCTAAGCTGCTACTGTCTGCACAGACTTTGCAAATAAGAAGGCAGTATCAGGTTGATGAGGTAATGACCATTTAAAAATAGATGTGAGCGGGAAACTGCCAAGGAATGGGGAGGTGGGACTGGCAGTTGAGGGAAACTGCCAGGGGAAGGAGGGGCACAACTCATTAACAAGGGGACACTTCATCAGCAAGGGTACCTGCATAATGAACATTTGTATACCTAACCTGAATTGTATCCCACATCTTTAAAATAAAAAAAAATAAAATGAAGGACAGAAAAAAAAAATAGATGTGATCATAATCACTGCAAATCAGAAGCCGATAGGAATATTCTCTCTTCAAGGGTCTCTGCTACTCATGAAAAGACGGCCGGATGCTTACTTGGAAACTGCTCGATTGCCTTTTCCTCTTAGTCTCTTTTTAAGGAGTAAGAATACACATTTTTATGTAGTTTTATATAGAGACAGGCATTTGTATGATAATATGTTGTAATTGAGAGATTGTATTATCCTTTGTGAAGTTGCCATAATTATTTAGTTATGTACTTGAATTTTAAAAGCTGATGATATTTGGCTTGAATACAAATACAAAATGTATGATGTCAACTTATAATGCCATCTGTTTTTTTTTTCCTAAAGAAATCGTTAGAGACAAGAAAATGGTAGTTGAGGTATAATGAGAAATTTCAAGACTGTTGGATCTGAATTTAATTTGTGTTTGTGACTCGAAGTAGGCAGTGCTGGCTAATCATTTGATGGCTGGAGTGTTATCACTGGGTGAATGTAATCCATTTGTTTAACTGCCCAGCCTCCTCACTGTATTTACAGTTAATTGGTTCCCATTAAGACCCTCTTAGTAGAAACCATAAAGCAGTAGGGTTAGAGAAACCTGAAAGGGAACATTTAGTTTGAGTTCTTTCTTGAAGCCAAGACCTAACAAGTGTTTATCTGTTTCATTTTTCACCATCTTCAAGACAAGTTAAGGGAGAAAAAAAAGACTGAGGAAGGTGATTTATAAATTATTTTTACTGTTTTGTGCCTACGAACACTTCTATAGCCAGAAATACAAAAGCCCCAAAGTGTTCATATGTCTAGTTGAAACCCTTCTCTTATGAATTGAAATTCTTTTTGAATTTTAGTGAATGAGCAAAGCAAAGCTGGTCACTACCCGACATCCAATAATTCCTTATATACCGAAAATTCTTTTTTTTTTTTTTTAATTAGGGTCTCACTCTGTCGCCCTGGTTGGAGTGCAGTAGCATGATCATGGCTCTCCACACCCTTGACCTCTCAAGTTCAGGCAATCCTTCTGCCTTAGCCTCCTGAATAGCTGGAATTACAGGCATGCACCAGCATGCCCTACTAATTTTTGGATTTTTTTTTTTTTTTTTGGTAGAGATGAAGTCTTGCTATGTTGCCCAGGCTGGTCTCAAACTCCTGGGTTCAAGCAATGCTCCTGCCTCAGCTTTCCAAAATGCTGGGATTACAGGCATGAGCCGCCGCACCTGGCCCTGAAGATTTATTTAAACTTTTTCTTTTAATTTTTTTTCCTCATTCTTCATTGTTCTTCTAATCTTTTAATTCGAACTTCTAGATATTGCATACGAAAATCTCACATGAAACCTCCTAATATTTTAGGAAAGTCATGTGAACCCACCTGATGAGGAGAGATACATGTGTGATTGCAGTGTTGTGTTTTTAAACTTAAATTTTTTCTTTTTTCTCTTCATGAGGGCTTATTTACTTCAGGACTAATGAAGCAAATTAAAATTCTAAATTCCCCCAAAAGATTTTCCCCTCCCTGTCCCTTCCCCACGGTTACCCTCACAACAAACTCTGGCGCTTCTCTGAGTCATTTGGGCACCAGCCGATCTGGAAAAAATTGGAAAGTAAATTGGTTGTGGTATTTTTATTTATAATAAAAATAGTGAAATTACTGTCAATGAGTGTCTCATCACGGATTTTTAAAATCCATTGGTAGTATTTAGGAAGCTTTCCATTCTTTTGGGGGACTTGACAATTTTAGCTACTTTAGTATTTTTTTCTTCTTTGTACTTGATATTTTATTTATTAGTTATTTTCAGCTAATTGTGAGTACTGTGCAATTGTCTAGATAAATAAAGGTAAGTGGCAATATTGTAATGTATTTAGTTGACCTAGAAGCATACCCATGACACTAAATGAAAAGATAGGTTATCATGAGCAAGTTTTTGATGATCTTACTAAAAACAAAAACATCTAAAAATATTTCCAAATCCAGCAGACAACATAGACTAAAAGTGAATTAGAAATTAAAGGACTACAAATATATATAAACAAAACATACGCGGCAACAAAAATTTAAATCCCAAAAAGGTTCATAATTTTTTGAATAAAGTTTCTTATACTGTTTTCTTATTACAAAAACAGTACATTCTCAATGAAGAAAATTTAAAAAGTCCCATTAGGGACATTCATAATCCTACTAACCCAGAAAGGGTAAAAAAACTCCACAAAAACAGCTTGATATTATCATTCCAAACATACACACACACATTGATGTTAATGACTATGTTTTCTGTAGCTTTGGTTTTCATATCTGTATTCTGTTGTCTTGATAAGTCATAATTTATCCAATCTCCTTGTTTTAGATATTCACATTATTTTCAGCTTTCCCCTAATTTACATTACATAGGTCATGCATAATTGGCTAAAAATAAGTTAGACGCGAGAAGACAAAGTTCTTTGTGGCAAAGTTAGCCTCTGGAATACCATCCCCTCCTTACTTCCCAAATAAAAAGCCCTGACTACACTTGACTGTGAACTTATACATCAAGACTTTATTCTTGGCTATGGTATATTTTAAACCTTTCTGCTGCTTGCAGCTCACTGATCTTTTCTGCTCTTGAGTGTGGGCAAGCATGGTGTGTTATTGGTGACACAAGTCCTTCTAAAAATATATTTCAAACATCGTAGAGCCGGTTACAGAAGGATGGTTTGATGATTCAGGGCCCCCCTTTTTTGATTTGACACAACCAGCTCCCACTCAGCTCCCGCTTCTCAGCAGAGCCTGTCATTCCTTGTGGAATCTCTTTATCCAGCTGTCAAGTATTGCCAAGAAATGGGGGTCATGGTGGAAGAGAGCACAATGTGCCGATTACCAGGGAGAAAATGCCAGCATCTAGCTAAAGTTATTTGCCAGAATTGCTTTGGACCACTGGGAAAACAGAGCTCTAGTATTCGTCTGTGACTGGAGATAGAAAGATGTCCCGGAAGAGAACACAGAATCTAAGCAATGGGAGGGAATATGGTGATTCCTAGGACATCATCTCAAGTCACCACCAAGAAACGAAAAGAGTGAGTTGTGTGGGAAGTGGGGTTTGATTTCTGCTTTTGTTTTAATAACCCAAGTCACATATCTAATAAATTGGGCACCAAAGAGTCAAACTTGGGCTTGCGTTATACCTCAACATGAAAGAAAAATAAAAAGATTTTTTTACAGCAAAATCATTATCAATATGTGGGAAATCTGGTGACTGGGAGCATTCATTGGTGATCAATTTCTTGTTTTATCAAAGAAAAATTTCACTTCTTGACTATTAAAAGTTTCTTTTTCATCATTAAAATAATAATAGCTAGCTATAAGTTAATGTGACCTCATATGACATCTGACGATTAGGTTCACAAACAATCCTAGCAAAAGTGCTACATACCTAATTGCTGAATATTACTACTGTCATCTTCGAAGTACTTCCCTTGGGAAGCTATGCACTGATGCCAGCACCTAGTCCACCTGTCAAAGCAATTTTGAAACTCCTTTTCTGGAATGGCCATCTGAGCTGTCATTGTTATTTGTTGCTGTCTGAACACAAAGTTCACGAACTTAGCACTGTGCGCTTACATCGGCAGCACTGTACAAATAACTGTATTGGAACACCCTCCCTACTCACCAGTTACTATTCTCTTTATCTGAAGATAAAGGAAATATTGAAAGGAAGACATTTGATGACATTCAGGACATCAAGGGTAATATGACGACAGCTCTGATGGCCATTCCAGACAAAGAGTTCCAAGATTGCTTTGACGGGTGGACTAGGCGCTGGCATTGGTGCATAGCTTCCCAAGGGGAGTATTTCGAAGGGGACCGTAGTGATATTCAGCAATGAGGTATGTAGTACTTTTTCTAGGATGAGCTCACAAACTTAATTGCCCGGCCTCGTATGTGTCAGTGTTGGAGTTTAAACAAGGTCTGTCTTACCTCGAACGCCTTTTGATCAAGCAGTTTTGACCACATTGTCTGCCACACAGTTTTGACCACATTGTCTGCCACGCTATTCTGCCCTTCCAGAGTGTCCATGGGCTGCTGGTAAGTCGCCACACCTGTGGTACTTCTCAGACGACTCCTATTCTGCTTTATACAGTTAGAAAAAGACTTTCATTATTTTCATTATTAAAGACTTTCATTATTCATTATACTCTCGTCACAGGAGTCAAATAATGTTTCCTTGGTTATGGGCATCACCTACCTAGTGATACTTTCAAGTTCTACACTCTTGAACTAAGACGCAAAATCACAACCTGGCTTTTGATGGAGTCAAGTGTTTATTGTGTGCTCCCTCAGCTGTCACATCAATGGGAACAGCTGAGCAAGCTTGGGAGGACACAGGCAGTTGACAGGACTGAGAACTGGTGAAATGGGGACTCGGTATGCTTTGTAAAGAGGAAATGTTTGACTTGAGTAAGATTTGGATGAGGATGATGATTTGGCAGCAGGGAGGGGTTTTGACTTCAGTCTTCATGCTAATGGCCCTGCTCCCTACTTCACTGAGAAACAAGGAGCCATCAGAAGAGGACGTCCACAAACTTCTGTGTTCATGTCTTCCTACTTGCTTGCACTTGTGTCCCTGTAACTGACCTTCTCTCATGTGATTCTGCTTCCACGATCCTAGTGAAGGCCAACCGTCTTCCCGTGTCTTCATTTTCTCAAGGGCGTTGTTCTAGCAATTCTCAGCTCTTCCGCATCAGTTTCTCTGCCTCCACTAGCCCATGCCAACCAATTTGCTAGCATCCTGTCATTTTTCCTATCTTAAAAAAAAAACTCCTTCACCAGGTGTGGCCTCCTTTGGGAGGCCAAGCAGGAGGATTGCTTGAACCCGGGAGTTTGAGACCAGCCTGGGCAACATAACGAGACCTCGTCTCTCTCTATATTTAACATTATTTTTTAAAAATTCCATGAAAGAAAGAACTGGCACATAGGAGGTGCTCAGTAAATACTTGTTCAAAGAATGAGTGAATGAATGAAAGCATTTAAAGAACTTTTGTAATAAGTTAGGTGTGGGCTGATTTGGACTTGTTGGTGATGAGAATAAAAAAGAAAGGGAGATAGGATATAAACTTTGAAGGAAGAATTAAAAATCCTTAATTCTTCCTTCAAAGTTTATGTGAGTTATTATATACATATGTAATGTAGTCTGTAATTTTAGGATTCTGTGTTTGATAATAAGATTATTTGGTGGTACAACCAATAGGGATGCACTTGAGAAGAGTGGTTTGTTTTCTTCCTTCAGGTGCTTTTGTTTCCATTTTTTATATTTTTTCTAAGAGTAAAAACCCTCATTATCTTAATATTACATATACTCATTGGCCAGATAATGTTTTCTTTTAAAATTTGTAACTAATGGTAGATCATTAACATGGGACCCAAGAGTAATCTACTTTGGTTCACTTCGAGTTTTAATTACTGTTTGGAGTTAACTGAGAGTTAGAAAAAGATGACCCGGAGTTCAAAGCATTTAGCCCACTTTGCTCAGGGCATCCCAAAGTGTTTCTGTGACCTCTGTAGCAGCTGGTCGATTCACTCATGAAATAGCTGGTGCTCACCCTTGGACCCTGAGCAGTATGGACTACCTAGCATGGAATTTACTTGGCAAGAATTCCCTCAATAATAGATTGTTCCTGCCTCCCCCTTTCTCTTTCAGTCTTCCTTTTTTATTTGGAATTGTATTTTATTTGGTTTGGGACATTTTTTCCAACAAGCGTAGAGAGAACAATTGTCATTTTCTGGCTGTTCAGTTGACCTCATGAACACATTTCAGTATTGGGAGAATGTCCCACTTTATGAATATCCTCTCCTTAAGCAAGTCACCAGACGAATGTGTTTTCTTAGCCTCCCTTGCAGCTATAGTGCAGTCTTAGATGCCATCAATCAGACAGCCTCAGCAAGTGCTAGATTTGCAAGTGAGAAACGGAAGAGAGCATGTACTCGGCAGAGTCCAGTCTGGGGTGGCAGCAGGGGTGGTGGTGGAAAACGGCAGTACTGAGGTCCAGGTCTGCTGACGGTGTAGTGGTGCAAGGTGTGCCTCAATCCAGTCTTGACTGGAGTTTTGTTGTTCCTCACTGTACAGCCTCTAAGCCTGACTCAGGTCCTCCCTGGGCCGCTGTGAGCCTCCTAACAGCCCTTCATAAGTGCCTTTTCTGTGGAAATGAGCTTTTCAGTGCTTCTGTGGCACAAAGGTCAGGGTCATGGTCTTTAAAGCAGTGCAATAAGGATAAAAGGGAAGAGGGGACATCATGTACACACATTCTCCAATTTCCTCTTCCCCCACCAAAATGAGAGAGGAACGCAAAAATGGCCTGAGTCTTTAAGTATTTATTATTAATAGTAACAAGTAATAGTTTCTGAACACTATTTTCAGGTACTGTGCCTTTTGGACATTGTCCCATAGGGTCTTTTTGGTGGTCCTCCGAGAACAGCCATCAATAGTTCTATGTTTAGATGGGAAAACTGATGTTTAAGTGACTTGCCATCTTTGCTTGGGCTCCACAGAAAATGAAGCTCACATGTGAGCTCCTTCCTGGGGAGGGCAGGTGATTACTCCAGGACAGTGAGAGTAAGGGAAAAATGCAGAGTGAAAAAGAGAAGGAAGGACAATAAATACAGTGTGGTGTGTTAGCCTGCTTGCCACAGTTATACTAAGAACAACCTGTTACTTGGTCATGAGAGATGTCTCTGGACAGATCTCATGGAACTTTCCTGCATCAAGAGTCCACTGCGGTAAGTAAAGGAGAGGAATTCATCTCCTGCCTCTTATTTATCACAGCTTGCCCGTAGGCCTTACCTAACCTCTCCATAATTTCGATTGTGTTACTCAGCCCCACTGGAAGTGTTGTGGGGGCAGCCAGGTTCAGAAGTGCTGCAGCTCTTACCGAGGCTGCCATGATGGAATCCATGCTGGGAGCCAGGCCTCTCCCTGGGAGCCAGACAGCTGGAAGTGATGAGTGGGGCTCTCCATTGGACAGGTTGCCCAGAGCTGGGGAGGCAGGTAGGACAGGACAGGCCTGGGAGAGGGCCTTTTGGAGGCACATCACTCTAATCTCTGCCTCTGTCATCACACAGCATTCTCTCTGTGTCTATGCCTGTGTCTCTGTTTCTTCTTTTGATAAAGACAGTAGTCATAGTGGACGAGGGTAGACTTTAGTCTTCACTTGATCTGCAAAGAAGCTCTCTCCGAATGAGGTCACGTGCACGGGTACCAGGAGTTAGATTTCAGCACGTCTTTCCAGGGGACACAATTTAACCCACAACAGCATCTAGGTCATGAAGGAAGACGTGGGGCCGAATTCATAGCAAAAGAGAAGTGATGAAATCAGTTTTGAGTATGTTGCGTTTGCATTGCTTTTGAGACGGTAGTCCAATAGGCAAGCCAAAGAATGTTTCTGGAGCCTCAGGAGAGATTTCCTGGCTGGTAAGGAGACAGGAGGTCATCAGCATCTGTATGGAACTTGCTGTGAAATAGACGTGTGCTGAATAAGACCTTGGGGACCTCAGCACTTAATGGGAGAAACAGAGAGAGAGGGAACCGTGGGGGAGTAGGCAGATGCGAGGTTAGAAAGAAGAAAAACTAGGAGAAAATTGTGTCAGTCAAGATGTGAAAAAGTTTTCAAGGATCTATATGAGGCTTTTCTCAGGTCAACAGTGGCAAATACTGTGGAGTGGTCAAGTATTGAGGATTGTAGTTTTCATGTGGCGATTTCAGATGACTTCACTAAGGGACTGAAGAATATCCCTTGGATTTGCAATGATGAACCAGAGAGGCTTCAGGGGAATGGTGAAGGTGGAGGCAAGACTACAGGGGGGATGGCACGCAGTGGTACTTAGAACTGGGGCAACAGCCAGTAGAGAAGACTGTGCTATGAAGAAATGAGGACAGGAGTGGTGATTAGAAACCAGGAGACTTGAGGACGTTGTCTTCAGATGTGAAGGAGCCATGGTGGAGAGAGAGGATAAGGATATGGGAGAAGGAACAGGAGGCAGTGCCCTACTTCATACAAAGCACTTTTGCTTCGGTTTCCAAATGTGCTTCTGTACATTACTTAATATGAAGAGAGAATTCTAGAAAATCACTGGAAATGATTGAATTAGGTGTTCCAGCTCTAAACAAAAAATGCATTGTCATAAAAGATAGCTCTATACAGAGTAATTTACAGTAATAGCTTGAATGAACAACACATTTAGATAATTCTAGGGTATTTCAGGTCATGTTTTCAAAAATACCTTATTTGATAGGAATAATTATTAGAGTTGTGACTATTTGCATTTCAGTTCCTGGCTTGCTCTTATTTGGATCTGTGTAAATTTCAGCTTTTAAATTTTGGCTTGCATTTTCAAAAAAAAAAGAAAAAAAAAGCATTTCCCAGCACTGAACTATTAAAATTATCTGTGGAGCTTTTATATCAAAATGTATTTCTAACACTGGTTCAATTTTTAAAGTGTATACTGCAGTTTAATAAAAAAATATTTTTATAGTTCTCTGCTTAAGCAAAGTTACTGGTAGCAATATCTTTAAAAGTTATTTATTTATTTTTAAAATTTATTTTTTATTGATGTAAAATGTACATATATAATTTACCGTCTTTATCTTTTTTTTTTTTTTTTTTGAGTTAGAGTCTCACTTCATCGCCCAGGCTGGAGTGCAGTGGCACGCTCTTGGTCACCCCAGAGTTGACCTCCTGGGCTCAGGCGATCCTTCCGCCTCAGCCCTCTAAGTACTGGGTGCTACAATGCCTGACTAATTTTTTTATTTATTGTAGATACGAGTCCTCGCCAAGTTGCCCAGGCTGTTCTCGAACCCATGGGCTCAGGCAGTCCTCTCACCTCAGCCTCCCAA